TAGATCGATTTCTTTCTTGTCTAAGGCTTTTCTTCATTTTTGATATTTTATGCATATATCTTTGTACATGTGTGTCTATCTGTGAGTGGGTTTGTTGAATAGTTGTTTCATTTCCGAGTCTTTATATAATTTGGCAGAAGGTTACAATAATATTCAAATTAATCCCACTATTTTCGGGATTTGGTCAGTAATCAGTGTCCGAGCCGAGACAATCTGCCCAAGTGTCTAAGCTCGGAAACTGATTAATAGAGAAAAAGACATTATCGATTACCAATTCATTCATATACTTATTAATGCGATCTATGTCTTTAAATATTATGTAATATAGCATTTCTGTCTTTATCCGTCTTACTGGAAAGGTGTTTCAAACAGAAAGACATTTAGACTAAAGTCAACATATTAATGATCCTTTTTATATTAAACACTTTTATTCATATAAATTCATATAATCATTATTCTGTCATCAAAACATTTTCGGATCTATCTTAAGATCGAAATATTTTTTGAAGGAGCAGCTTATTTCCATAGACAAGTTATCTAGCTTCCCCATAGAAAACCTGAAAAATTTTAAGAATTCCAAGGCCGACATTTTGCATCACTACAGAAAGTTTCTAAATCCTTCTGACGTGATTTATCTATATAAGATTCAGGTCAGACCAAAACTGAGTAGTTCTCGCATAATTTAGCTGGAGTTGCTCATTTCTCCTTTTCATGCCTTGAGAGAGGTCTTTTACTAGGTTTTGTGGAGAGGGACTACTTATTTTAAATCCGTTTTCCAACAAAGGGAACATCACAACCCTATCGTTAATCTATCGCTAATTCAATAGCAAAAGTTCTGACGAGTCCAATTCTTTAGTACTGCCCACCCACAGTTAAGACCTTTACACACATTACCCGCCAAGCTACGTCCACCCTCATTCCATACATATTCACCTCATAAAGAAAGATAATTCCATTCAGGCACCTTCTTCTTAGGAATGCTACTTTGCTTTAACAGCCTTGCACGTGGATCGTTATTTCCCCTCCATATCCTCATAATGTTCACTTCTTTCTTCCTCCTCTTACGATCATGTTACATACCTCATGCATTAGCTGCCTATCTTAAGAGGGTCTTGGGCCTTGCATATGGTGAATATTAATATTAAAAAATTGCAAACAAACACATGCAATCGCATTTAAGAATAAAGGTGAAAGATTGTAACAGGTCAGGGAATGAACGTAAGGCACCTTAATGGAAGCAATACTGACAACTGCAAGGAAAATGTCATCTTGAAAGAAGAAAAACAAATGAAAGAAGATGAAATTCTCATTCCATTGAAAGGGAAACGGCAGATTATTCTAAGAAATGATACAGAAAATATGAATTCTTTACATTATTTACATTTGGAACAATGTCTTCCTTTTGGTGACACTATCGTTTCTAGGTCATTTTTCCTCCACGTATTTTTCTGGTAGCTGTCGATCCAGGTAACTTTCAGGATAGTTTGAACTGAATACCTTATTTAATCTACGGAGGTAGATTGTACTTGTTTAGTCTTTTTTTTAATATGTTACTGATATGATATTGCTATCATTGTTTCTACTCAGCTAATAGCCTTGAGGATTAAATTGTTTGTTCGTGAATTTTGGTGTCATAGAAATTGCGTGTTCAATTCCGGGGTTGGATAGCATATATCCACACTCAGCAGCAATGGGATAGAAACAAATTAGTAGCATTAGAAAATAAAGATAACGATGAGTTACCCCTAGGCATAAGCCCTGGAATGAGAACCGTCTTGTAGATTAGATAAAAAATTAAATTCGAATTTCATTGAAGGATTGATAAAAGCCTGAGGGTACAAAGGTCAAAATGATACATATAATGTTTTGATGACAGAAAATGATTAACGAATTTATATGAATAAAAGTTAAAAAAGGACCATTAATATGTTGACTTTAGTCTAAAGCCCTTTCCAGTAAGACGGATAAAGAGAAATGCTATATTACATAATATTTAAAGACATAGAAATTAATAAATATATGAATGAATTGGTAATTGAATGTCTTTTTTGATTAATCAGTTTCGAGCTTAGACACTTGGGCAGATTGTCTCGGCTCGGACAAGATTACTGACCAAATCCCGAAAAATGGGATTAATTTGAATATATAGTCACACCAAAGATGAGGATATTTGTACAACTATATATAATGTAAATAATTATAGTTCCTCATCCTAGAAATTCAGACAGTGTATAAATGAAGTTAAACGAAAACATTAAAAATAAATACGAGTAAAGAAAAGACTGAATTAGGAATTGGAGACATCGAAACCAAAGAAGAGTTTTAACAGAAGATGACAATGCGACACTGAAATCCGAAATTCCACTGGAATAGCAAAAGATGCTTCCCTAACGGACCGTATTAAGAAACAGGAAAATGTTGTTAGAGACAAAGAAAAGTGTACTGTAGTGTCATGTGATATCGGTCTTCCAGTGAATGCTAGGCAATAATTTACAGTCTTGAGGCAACAGACATGAGATTCTGCTGAAAAATGTTGAGAATCATTTGGGAAACGACAAGGGAAAATTGAAACAAAAATACACTTATACTTCGAATCGAAAAAAAACTGTTGGTACATAATGGGGAAAGAGGGCTTAAAGAATTTGACACTCATAGGAAATATTGAAAGCGAAAGCAAATAATCTGCATAACGATCTTATTTAAATTGTTGGCCAAACAGGAATTAGTAGTGTTAGCAAAATGTCAAATCTTAAAGCTACAAAGTAGAGGAAGTCGTACGCACACATAGAATAAAAAAAGGCAAAATTATGGTTTGAATTCAACTCGTGGCATATGAAATAAATACATTGGCGTACTCAGTAGAGATATCAATGAAATCAAAATGGTTATTTTCGTTTTGTTTAGCGGCATATCAAAACTTGTGTTGGTTATTAAATTCCGAGATCTAAATATTTTGAACAAAGTTTTATGGCATCAGCTAAATATTTTGGACGCAATTGTATCCCCTTGAAATACAGATAAAATGTATTACTGATTATGTATTGTCGCTCTTTTAAGTAAAAATGTATTACTGGTATTTTTACTATTAAAATGTATTTTTTATACTTTCATAGTTCTGTTTGGTGGGATCACAGCTAGCATCCCAACAGGTATTACCACCCCGGGTCAGGGTGGATCTGGTAACAACAGCAATTAAGAGATAGTTCCAGGATCTTCAAAACCTTCATTATTCCGATGAGTGGCCTTGCTCCCGGATGTAGTTTATCATCATAATCAGGGCTTGAATCCAGATGCGAAAAAATGCGAACACTAGAAGAATCAGCATAAGCCACATAACCAAACTAATATTTATGATCATAATGAAGAGTGCTTGTTGGAGAATTAAACTTAAAACATGTTTCTTTGTACAAGACATTTGAACAGGGAATGACATCTTCACGAACATAACACCAGGAAATATTAGGAAAGCTTAATCTACACAGAAAGGATACTCAAATAGTCCATAAATTGTACTGGGAGCAAACATTTTGAATGCAAACAGAGAACTAGATAAATGAATCCGGACAATTACGGCAACAATGTTTTCTTTTTGCATTTAATTAGTGTGTACAACGAAATAATTTTAAGAGGGTTAGTGAACCCAGTATGATTGATTAGAGGTTGATATAACATTAGGGTGTAAGCAGTGTTAACTACGGTGGAGTATTTTTGCGGATTACGTTGGAAAACTAGCATAATCTTTAGACGAAATAGTTGAAGACAGCCGATTCAAAAGAGCATAAATTCCCTATGAAAAGAAAGAGATCCTAGTTGCCAGTTAAAAGGGTGACACAACGTATGAGTTAAGTACTCGGCACGTCAAACTCAAGCAGGCGCAGAAATTTGTCTGTCTGGGTAGAATTAAAATGAGATATAGATATGCAAGAGCCAATTCGGGACAGAGACATGTTTTTTCAGAAAATGAGTAAGATATTAATGAACGGAAAACTATTTTTAGAAAGAAAGCAAAAGTCGATGTATTACTAGGATGAAGATTAATATTCGATATGACACTGAATGCTGAATAATTACTTCGAAGATGAAGAAAATATGTGAAGCGGTAGATGTTCTACGGATGAATATTGTGAATAGACGACATATTTGAGAAATGGAGTTTTAAAATGTGGGTTATCTCAATGACATTCCTAAAAAACAAAACGTCGCTATGAGATGCTCTTTAAGACTATAAATACGCAGTGATATTTACACTCATGGACTTTTACAGATTTATAGCTCTGGCCATAATAGCGATTTTCCAAGCGTAGCTTAGATGTGTCACAAGACAGAAAGTACGTAGCACCCACTGAGAATCGAACTCAGTACTCGGTCACAATTGTTCGAGCGAGATAAGCTTGCTAATAATTACACCGCCTCGAGGGCTCCCACTTTGTCCTATAAGATGGAGTTGCACGCAGGAAAAAAAGTGACGCCCCACTGGATAACGTTAATTTACATGGTCTTACTTTTCTCTTGTGACTTTGTACATTTTCACAGATATCTCTATCACGTAGGCCAACACAAATCCCCCCCCCACAAAAACACTGTCACTAGTATTAAAATCTTTTATTCCTTTATTATAGTTCTAATACTTTTGTTAATAGATCCACTGTCGTTGGCTTTGTATTGTTTCGTGTTATTCATTTATTACTTGGTCTCAGATTGGAGTCCGCAATAATTGTTACGGGGAAAGCTGATACCAGGAGACATGTGTTTTCTCCTGAAACACAAGCATTCCCGTAACAAAAAACAATTATAAATAAAATACGGCTTGCAGTAAGTCAGTGACTCTCTTAAAGCCTATTATGGCAATAGAACCGAGGTGAATAAGTTGTGAGCTACTTTAATAGTGTGAGTAAATTAATATCCGCAAATATTCCACTAAGAAAAAGATGGAATGTAAAGAAGAATCACCTAAAACAACAGCAGCAAAAAATGAAATAAAACAACTCAACCAAGAAAAC